GAGATCAAACAAGATGACTGCATTAATTCTAGAGCTAGGTTAAGAAAAATTAGAAAGTTTAAAAACGATAAGGCTCCTGGGCCAGATAATATTTCCCCCAGGGTTTTGAAGGTGGTTAAAGATTGGATATGTGAGCCACTTGCTACTATTTTTTGTCAGTCCTCGAATAGTGGGCAGGTGCCAAAGGATTGGAAGTTAGCTAATGTAACTCCTATTTTTCAAGGGAGGTGATAAAAATTGTCCCAGTAATTTTAGACCCGTTAGTCTTACATCACTTGTGGGAAAAGTTTGGAAAGTCTGTTTAAAGATGGTTTTGCAAAGTTATTTAACAAAGTTTAGACTTTTATTGGATAGTCAACATGGTTTCACTAAGGGAAAATCTTGCCTAACAAATCTTTTAACATTCTTTGAAAAGGTTGCTGCTTATGTAGATGAGGGTAATGATGTAGATTTGGTGTATCTGGATTTTCAGAAAGCATTTGACAAGGTGCCACATAAAGCTTGTAAACAAATTTGCTATGTAGGTGTGGAGGATAAGTTAGCAAATTGGATAGAAGAATGGCTGGATAGAAGAAACCAATTTTTTGTACTTCGACCATACTCGCATATCCCGGCTTTTCAAAGAGGTGAAGAGAAATGAATTATTTTACCTACTAGAATGGACTAGTTGTGTCCAGAATGTGAATTCGAGGGTCCATAGTTCGCGTTCAGTTGTCTCAAAATCGCGTCTTGTATTTTGGGGCCGTGGTGCGTTACGTGAATGAAGGTTAAATCCCACTATTTGATTTAAGTAAAACAAGTATTGATGATGGTTCATTATTGTCTTTCATCCAGTCTATCAGTTCAACATTAGGAACGACTAACGCGCGAAAATTCGAAACAAACAAAGCATCTGTGATATGACTTCATACAAGTAACACCTAAGAAACAAAGAAAACTAACACCACACAAACAAATAATACACACAAAAAACCTTCAAAGTTTTCAATAATCACCCAAAGAGTTCCAGCAAAATACAGAGAACCACAACTTGCGCCCGAAATCAAAAGTGGTAAACCGGAAGTTAATATCACCGCCATCAAACGTCTAGCCAAGGGCGGCGTCCTCGTCAAACAGACAGAGGCCACTGACCTCAACCGACTCTTAAAAGAATGACTCCAAGACACTTTCACACCAGGAACTACAACAATACACATACCAGGAACTACAACAATACACATACCAGGAACTAAAACCAACCTGAAATCCTTTGTTGTAAAAGATTTACATATAAGTAACACAAACGAAGACATTGAAACTGAACTCGCACATAAACATATACAACATACCAGGTGGAACGAATTTTTTCAGACCGAACACAGAAACTCACGAACTTAATCAAAGTACACGTACACGAATCACAAGATATCCAGAGCGTGATATCGGATGGTATCAAAAATACACAGTTGAACCCACAAAAATACCGGCGGTAATTGTAACCCAGTGTTACAACTGCCAACGTTACGGACATGTGGCAGCCGCATGCAAAGCTTTCCCACGCTGTGTAGGATGTGGGGGAGAACATAGAAACGCAGACTGATCAAGAGTAAACACACAAACGCATTGCTGCAACTGCTAGCAACAACATACGGCAAACTACAAAAGATGCCAAAAATACAAGAACACCAAAACACGTATAACAAACATAAAAAAAATAACACGAACACTCAAGATACGCGCACACAGAACCAGGAATCAAACAGAATACAAAGAAAAACACCTTTGTTGCCAACACCCAAACCTAAAGAGACCATCAATGCAAATAAACAATCTACAACATACACGTATACACAGGCAGCAAGTACACACAACACATAAACATTGTAACATAATAAACTGAAACCATAAGTAAAATAACAGAAACAGCTAAAAACGTTTTCTATGAATACAATACCGAAACCCCCAAAACCAAGACGACAGCATCACACTAATAATTAAAATCGCTATCGAACATTACACCCCTACTCCCACAGATCATACAATTCATCGCTATTCTACAAACACCACCGAACACAACTACACAGTTAACATAACTATACAAACAAATACGTAATCATACAACATAAACGGACGTGACCCTGAGAAAGAAAGTAGCAACGGTAACTAATAGACATCTAAACCAGCTTACTAAAAACCACAGATAGTTTTCACCAAACAATAACAGTTGAGGAGAGGGGAAAAGGTCTACTTAGTACCTGACCTCCCAGGTCTTCAAGACCTTAATACCGATGATGACGACGCGAACGAATCCTGACTTGCGCCCTGCTCTCTAATGATGTATATTTAAATCGATCTAGCTCATTTTTTAAAAATCAGGTTAAGTTCATTTAACTTTTTAAATTTACTGTAAGTAGTTTTTACGCACCGCTAGGGATAGTAACCATAATGTATCTTTATATAGATTGGTAAAGTAGAAATTCTTACGGTGTTGGTCTAAGCACGTTGTTAAGAGCTATGTTATCTTTTTTTTTCAAATTTTTATATCTAATTATGTAACTTGTAATGTTTATAAATTTTTATCTGTAGTTCTTTTAGCAGTCGAGAAAGAATTAACTGTTTTTATTTCTAAATATGGTTAATGTACATAGTGCTTCTCTCTACAAGGAAGTAGTTTGTACCTATTACGTGCTGTGACTTTGTGTCGAAAATAATCTTAAATAAACCAAAATATAGGGTTTGTATCTTTCAAAAATTTGCGCAAAACTACACAAGGGCTATCTGTACTAGCTGCCCCTAATTTTGAATTGATAGAGTAGAGTGAAGTCAACAGTATCCGCCGCAAACTCATAGTCAAAAAATATATTTGACCTAATACCATGCTGTTTGTGGAAGGCTACATAGAAATGATATTTTTAAAACTACAAGTTTTATAAAGTTAACATTTCAGCAATGTTTTTTCTTAGGATTTAATAAGAAACAATCTGGAAAGTTTTCTAATAACTATTATTAAATTAAGATTACATTCCATACATTTTTCTTCTGTATTTATATTTACGTAAGGCAATCAAGATAACCTTCTTCTGAGTAGGAATTTGTATGTTATTAAAATTGTTGACTTTTTAGCATTTAAAAATTTAGTTATTATATATAAAATTTCTAAACCAGGGTGGCGTCACCTGTAGTGAACTCTTTCTTTCGGCACATGGTGGAAGCGTAAGGCTATTCCGAATTTCAAGATTTCAGTTTATTCTAAACTATTAGCAATGAATACTTTTGGAAGAAATTTCCTTAACGTACTTTCTAAAACAAGAAGTATAAACGGACTGAAAAAATCTGCTAAATCAGTTAGCTTAAATTTGGCTGTAGGACGACTAGGCTTAGTAACTGAAACATCTAGAAATTTTACCAGATCACTCTCTGTGTTGTGTAAGAAGCAAGAGTCTTTGGAAGGTTTGTTCGTTCAGGCTGGTTACGGTAAATCTTGCAGCTGTGGGTGTAATGGATTACACACGAAAGGTATTGATTTTGTCCTGTTTTATGCTTATTTAATCTAAATGGGTAATTATCTCTATTTTTTCCAGGGCCGGATTAAGGAATTAGGGGGTGGTCGTGAGGCAAATTTTCTAGGGGGGTCCATCATAACCGAGTTTCTACTTTCATAAGTCAAATACATTTAAATACTATTTATTACCTACAGTTTGAGCAAACGATAGGTAGAATATTATAAATAAGTAATTCTAATTTTTACGGAAGTAATGACCGCGAATGTTTTTGTTAAAATAGATTAGCAAATATTTAGGAAAGAACATGTTAATTGAAAATTATAAAATAACTAAAAATTATTGTTCTCATAGTGAAACAGTTACGAACTTGTTTTTAAATGAGACATCCAGTATTTAATTCACTTTATTTTCTCTTAGTCAGAGGAGGGATCTGAGAAATTAGTTTTGAATATGTATAAAAGCCTCTGATTTTTTAATGTTATATTCTGAAGTTAAATGAGAAGATGCTATCCTTCAGTTAAGACATTTTTTAAACAGGGTAGTTAACTTGTGGAAAGAGTTGCTATCACCGGTAGTGGAGGCTGGCATTCTAGAAAAGTTTATAAGGGAGTGATTATGGCCACATTTTTTTGGCAAATTTTTTTGCCTATTTTGAATTATTGTTTTTCGATCATGCAAAGAAATAAAGACGAGTTTTGAATAAAAAATGAAATTAAGACAGTCGATTCATTTAGCCCTTTTTCTTTATTTATCATAAATTATGTATCGTTTTGATTAAAAAATGAAACAAAGAAGACTTCATGAGAATAAGTTTGCAAAATTTCCTTCAAAGAGGTAACTTGAAATTCTCCTCTTTTCTTTTTTCAAAAATTTGGATGCTAAACATTTTTTTCCCCCAAGTATGGGTGTGAAAGGATTAGAAATGTGCATGATTTATTAATTTGAACTAAATTGTGTCAGTAGATTAAAACTTTGGTAGAGTGATAACACGACAGTTTTTAGTCTCCAGGTGTTAATTGTATAGTTGCTAAGGCATTTCCATGCCACTTGAATCAAAATTCCTCATTTGATAGTGAAGATCCATAAAATGAGTTTCTAGCTCGATCTACTTCGATGTAGTATAAAATTTGCATCCAACGTCTGTTGCTAAGTGTCTTCAAAAACTTCTGGTTAAATGTTTGCACTGTTAAATTCTGACCATCGACTTGACATACCTTGGTGGTTAGGGTGCTCAACTCGCAATCTGAGGGTTTAGAGTTTGAATTTACTTTGCTGAACATGCTTGTTCTATATGGTTGCCAACCTGGGCTAGCCACCCTGGTGAAAATATTCTTGGCTTACAAAAAGACCAGCCAAGCCCAACTAGTTGGGGTTAAGGTCATAACAAAAAGAAGAAGTCTGACCATATTGAACACAGTAGTATGGGTAAAGTAAGTTAAGCCGGTTATTTTATAGTCGCAGTTGTGTTATAGTTGTGAGAAAAAAGAAATTAGCTCAGAAATTTTGGTTAAATTGCTTAAATATAAGAAAACCATAAGTATGTGTAAAAGATAAGTTACTTCACGAATTCATTGCTGAAATTTTATTATTTATGATCTTCTTTTCATCACTTGAAACTTGCGGTTATCTTCATTTGTTAGAGGTTTCTTAAAACTTTAGCAAAATTATTTTTACCCTAACCTTGTCTTCTTAATGCAGTTTTCTGCAGATTCCTGGTGCATCAGTGCTAGTTTTCTTTGTAGGACATTGCATTACCTTATGGTTTTGTGATGTATTGGCTAATCTCCATTTATTTTCAGGTGACAAAGATTTAATGGAGTTTCTAGAAGAGGAAATCAAAGCAGAGAAGAAAGCCCACAAAAGTTCCAGCTTGACAAAAATTGATGATTTTGATATTAAATCAGATGGGTCTGATGTAACTTTGACAAAGAAGTTTAATGAAGAGAAGTAATTGGTTTTTATTCAGTCATATTATAAATTCTTAGAACTATAAGATGTACATATTAGTAATGAGTCACAGGTCACAAGAAAAGCATTTTCGAAACTAGCAATAAAAATATTTAAAATCTTTACTCTTCAGTTAGATGATTTAGGACTTTGTGACTTATAACTGTTCTACATTAATAAAGTTGTTAATTGATTTACCTTTTATGTGTTAGTTTGATGTTCTTTTTTCTTATAATTTCCTAGTAATAGGGTTTACGTCACAATAATTGATGTAATCGATGCTTGAGATAATTGTCCAGCCCTATTAAGGTGTACTTGTTAATAAAACTGTAAATCCTTGGTTAAGTATTTAGTTGTGATGAAAAGAACTAATAGAACTCTGAATCATTTAAATATTTAATTTAAGAGCGAGACTGATGTGGCCTCAGTTTTTCCCCCTTACAGGAGAGTTGGTATTCACGTGCTGAAAATAGTGAAGGAATGTACTACTGTGGCGATAATCTTGCTTAAAGAATTTAAGTTACTAAGGTCTTGTTACCAATGGATCTAAGAATTATATATATAATGTAAATATTTAGGCTTGGGAAATTGGTAGAGGCATCAGTAAACTGTTTATGCATGAGAGGTTGAAGTGTTGAGATGATGATTTTGTAAGTGAAAACTTGAATATTAGGGACAATAACTATTACTCTGGAAATCCAGATTCCAGCTTTTCTTTGGGTAAATCTGTACCTTTCAGATTATTAAACCGAGCTATAGTTGACATAACAATAGCTGTTGAATGGAATGGACCATTCACCTTGATCATTTCTATCAAGAAGTCAAAACTGATATGAATTTAACATAGTACATAGTTTTTATAAATGAAAAGTCTTGATTTATGTATAAAATTAAAGTGAATGAAAATGTAAAGATAGTAAATATATCAACTGTGTTTTGTTTCTTTATCTATAGTATCACTATAAAACTCAATGTAAACCACTCTGTTGATGCCGAAGAACCACAAGAAATTCATCCTAATCAAGATAAGGAGCCAGAAATGGGAGCAGTAAGTTGTTGGAATTGTTCATAACTGTTGGGTAGTAAGGTTTATGTTCACATAATTTAGGCTGACTTTATAATATACTTGTGTATGTAGATCAAACAGTCAGAACCTGACACGATGAACACAAAAGAGCATTGAAGTCAGGTTAATTCAGCTTTGTGAGATCGCGTTTATAAGGATTTCCATATTATTCATAATTAGTAGTTTACCTCTGTTCTGTTTAACTCTTTCCTCTGGTTCAAAGTGCATGTGTCGTGACCTTTTAAAGTGTTACGTTCAAAATTGCATGGAACAACATTATTATCAATGTATGTCAATGAACTTGTCATGAAAATGTAATTTATAATTAAAATTTTTATCTAAATTTTAATGTATTGATTTAAAATAACTTTCAAGAAAATCTCATACTTCATTTTTCTGTCACGTATGTGTCTGAGCTCTGTATTCTACACTTCAGAGTAATCTAACTTCTGTAGTAGGCAATTGTGGTACCCAACTAATTAGAAACACAAACTTTGGATAATCACAAGCTAGAATATAAAATTTTAACTTCTGACCTCCTTTAGTTGCTGAGATATCAATAAATTTGGCAAACTTGCCAGAGGAGCCTTCCCCTCCCATCTCTGATGTTTGAGTTTTTTTCTGATGAATTTAACATGTCTGATAGACATGTTAATAACCAATTAAAAGAGCAGGTTCTCCTCTGTTTCGAGTTTATTGAAGTAGGTAGGTAGGGTATTCGCTTTATAGAAATGTCAGATGATCATGGTTTTGTTGCTCTGAACAGCTAAGAAAATTTTGTTAGCTTACAAAGAAAGCCAGATAAGTTACAGTAATTTTGGGACATTTTATTTTAGTGTCGGGTAAGACTTTTGTGTTCAAAAATGATTAGTTGAAAGATTCGTGAATTCTTTTGGACACCCAAATTTGTGAGGCTAAACAAGAGAATGTCAAATATTTTTACTGGAGTGCAACAACTTAAACACATGGGGAATACTACAAATCCTCGTTTTTTATGTTTATATATTTCTAACAAAGGTAACTAAAATGTAAAAAATTATATACTTTTCAGTTCAGCATCACCATACTTCAGGAGAATAAAATGTCCCAAGTTACACTAGCTCAAACACCCGTGTGAAATATGACATAGGATTGTTTCCTCTGCAGGAAATGCCTAATGAACTTCCACTATGATTTATTCATTTTTTATGCAAGGATTATTGTTCCAGTGGTAAAATTATGGCAATAAAACCATAAAAATAAAAGAAAACAGATGTAAAAAAAGTGAAAAATGGTTGAAAGTGTTAAGATAAGTAATTTGGATTTTTCTTATTAATATTTTGTATTTTTTAAACTTTTCACTGTATACAGTGATTTGTCTACAGTTAGTGTTAGGGTTGACAAAATAAGAGATAAATAGTAAAATTTAACCAAAAATGGACTTTTGATATACATTTAGGAAAACTGTAAGATAGAAAGACGTACTAAAGTGACACCTTTAGCAGAAATACTTATTTAAAAATCTAATTTTGCGGTACAAAAGATTTTGAAGGTTTTCTAAAGCTTGCCAAATTTCATGAATATACATACACACATTTAGATTAAGAAGTTAGCACACAGGATCACATACAAAAGTTGTAATGGTTTTCAAACGAGACCCAAAACTCGAGCGCTTTCGAATAGTTCACTATTCTTCCGAGTTCTGGGTCTCGTTTGAAAATCATTAAACACATTCAGAGTTATGGTATGTATATTTCACTGTTCCAAAGTTGGTCAAACTGACCAACTTCAATCTGATAGGGTTAAGGAGATTAGCCATCAGAAAGGTCATTTCTTGATACATAAGGTATTGGGTTATAACAAGAGGATCAATTTTCACACACTTTATCATTCCTTACTTAACATTTGTTGGTGTCAATTATGGTGTAATATGTAATACTTCACTTACCTACCCCTAACATTGAGAGGTGGTAAGCTCTTGAAACGTTGAGCCTTAAAAGATATTTAGTTGGTGTGTTTCTTTACTTGTTAAATGGAGCCCGGCATGGCCAGGTGGTTAATGCACTCGACTCGCAATCTGAGGGTCGCGGGTTCGAATCCCCGTCCCACCAAACATGCTCGCCCTTTCAGCCGTGGGGGTGTTATAATGTGATGGTCAATCCCACTATTCGTTGGTAAAAGAGTAGCCCAATAGTTGGCGGTGGGTGGTGATGACTATCTGCCTTCCCTCTAGTCTTACACTGCTAAATTAGGGATGGCTAGTGCAAATAGCCCTTGTGTAGCTTTGCACGAAATTAAAAAAAAAAAACAAACAAAACAAACTTGTTAAATGGTTTATTTTATTGAATTTTGAAAAAGAAGTTACTGGATGAAATTGTATGAAACTTCCAAAGAACTTTCTACAGCTTACTTAGCTTCTGGAAATAAAATATTCTTAATCATGATACATTCATCGTATAAATATGAAGAACTCCCAGATTTACTTGTCTCTAATATTCTCTCTAGAGAAAGACAGGGATTATGTAGCTTCTGGAAATAAAGTATTTTTATTTGTGATACTTGTTTCAGCTCATAGCTTTGAAATTTCAAAAATATTTCATTGTGGTATGTTTTTAAGAAACAATTAAAAATGTTTTCATTTCTTGTAAATTTTAATTACTGATTTTTATGTCTTCCTAGTTTTTGTAAAGTTTTCCTATGAGGTTTTTTTTTTTTATAAAACAGTAAATTTTATCTTTTTTAATTTGAAAAACACCATATGCAGTTGTGTTTGTTTATAAACACTTCTGTGAAATAAAATAACTTTACCCATTATAAGCAAACTGATTTTTTTTAAATTGTTAAACAGGAGGTTATATTTAATACAGGTTTTAAATTTATTATTTATATTCTGTTGTGTTGTGTTTTAGGTGATTTTCTATGCCCATTCAAGTTGTTACCTAGGTTGTTAAGCCCTAACGTAAATAAGGCCTTATCAATGAAATGAAATGTTTTAGAGCACAATGATTTAACTCAGTCTACCTCATATTGTTCCACAAAAAACACTGCCACACCGTGATTAAAGTGAAGTATTAAATGATAAAAAATCAAGTCCGTTATTGGGGCAAAAGTTGTTCACAAACATCTTTTTTTTTCTTCTAGCAACAGAACACCAAGTAAGTTTTTATCACTTGGGTCTGATCTCTGTGTGAATTTCTGCTGAACTGGACACTGTATTGGCAGAGAACTGAAAAATGCTCGCATTATGCATTTATATTACTAGCCTGTGACTTCCTGAAGCTGATATATATAGGAAATTAAAAATTGATAAAACTACACTTTTAGTAAAGTTACCAGAACAAATTAGCACTTTTTTGTTCAAATGTATTTTGATTTTCCTCCTAAGTGCCATTTTGTTCTCAAACTAGAGAGCCACTGAGTAGCGTGCATACCTCCACCATGCCCTCAAAAAATAAGAAAATCTGTCTGTATGCCTGTTGTTATCAATGGACACGGACCATTTTTGGCAGGACAATGAGGAATAATATTCTACATATGTCCACCAAGTTTCATCAAAATCTGATCATTTTTGACTGAGTTACAGAGCAAAAATAATGTGAAAATTTGGTCTCCATGTTAACAAATAGGGATTTTTTTGGTTATTCCTGACCTTTACCTTCCAAAAGCTAATCACTTCTGAGTTGTCATAGTCCAAATGTATACCATCTTTCATCCAAATCCATTCAATCGTTTTCTAGAAATCTTGCTGACACACACACAGGGGGGAAAACATGACCTCCGTCCACCTTCTATAGCGGATGTAAAAATATTAAAGAAATTCATAAACACTAATGCTTTCGTGTGAAAAATCAACCCAAAATCAAAACCTGCAATTTTTACCAATGTTCACATATAAAATTGAATATCTAAAACTTGTTATTGAATAACCTACTACTTTGTTTTGATGTGTGTAAGAATGACTACAAGTTTTTTAATTTTATGATGTGATGGAGTTAAAGAGTACAGTTTAATTTACAGGTTATAAACTGAATTATTGTGATTTATCAAATATTGTGAGGAAACCGTTAATTCTGGAATAAAATCATATCTTTTTTTGAATAGATGAAATCAAAGCCAAACTTCAATATTGAGGTAGAAAAAGGAGGTAAAACCCTTGCGTTTACTTGCACATACAGTTCTGATGTAGCACCCGAGGACCAGACTGATGATACCTATTGTGAGTACTTATCTTTATGTCACTTGTGTAAAAGTGATGTCTTTCTTTTTATTCCTCAGTATATTTGCTTAACTTTAAAATAGTTAAAAAAAAAAAGAGTAAAGATTGTACTTTGTGTATAGATTTGCATCTGTGTTAATTTTGTAAAATTCTGCTGTTTGTTCACATTGGTATGGGGGTTATTTATTGAACACTTAAATTTAATTGGCATGTTTTGTGGTTCACACTATCCTACTTCTAGTTATTTTTTCTACAAGCTCCTCTGATTGGCTGTTCTTTAAATTAAAGTTTGATCAGTTGAGTAACCCTTTAATACATTCAATTGTACGTTTGTGTAACTTTATTTTTCAAATTGTTAGTTTGTGATGTTTGTAATAAGTCTTAGTTAATTAACTTCTATGTTATATAAGTATGATACGTTTCTTCTATGGTAGTTTTGTGGTTTTTCTGAAAGCAAATTATCGTACGTTTGTGTAACTTTGTTTTTCAAATTTAGCATTGTTAGTTTGTGATGTTTGTAATAAGCCTTACTTGATTAACTTCTATGTTATATAAGTATGATACGTTTCTTCTATGGTAGTTTTGTGGTTTTTCTGAAAGCAAATTATTGCTCGTCTTATAAATATGAAAAATTCTCAGATTTGAAAGACGGGGATTGGATCACATAAGCTGCTTCAAAGTAACAGAAAATTTCAAACACACACACACACACACACTTTAGAAACCTACTCTATTTTAGTAAATTTAAATATTATGTACTGAATAGATTATTACTGACACCAGTTGAAGATTACTTGTAATTTTGTTTGTTTTTAACCACAAAGGTACACAAGCTGTGTCCAATTAGTTTATTTTCACTGTGTTCATCGTATTTTGGCATTATAAGCCATCAAACTTACCACTGAGCCACCAGGGGGCAGTTAATTAGTAGGCACTTGTGACCAGACTTACTTTACTTAGAGGATAGTGAATGTAATGAATTCCCTTTTACCAAAAAAAAAGGAAAACTTGTTATAAAGTTGTTTTTTTTAAGTACAGAGGTAAAAATTTGATAGCCAAAATTTATTTTGTGTGTATTAAAATGTGCATGGGTTCAGTTAATTGGGCCGACACTGTATTGGAGAAGATATATTGACTATAATTCCGAATATACTATGTATCTACACAGAATGTAGCAGACTTTTAATAAAATGTTTCTCTGAATTCTATAAGTATATATATATGACAGTATTTTTAATATATAATAAATTTATTAGATTGTGAAGAATACGTGGAGTTTTTTTTCTTCCAAAGTTGTTTTTTTTTTTAATCAAAGCGTTAACTTATTTATAGTTAATGCTCTAACTTTTTAGTAAAGGTTTATACTATAGGTTTATCGACTGGAAAGGAGAGCAGTTAAAAAAAGGAACATAACCTACAATATATTTAATGCCTGGATATTTTAGAATTTACAAACTCCATGATCGAAGATCTGTGGTTGTAATGGCATCTGTGAATTTTATAAGTTGTATACTGTCACTCTTTGTAAATGACAGCAAACCTGTCTCCTACTTCCATTTTTCATCGGTTATGTTTATTTAATGGTTTTGCATTAATGTACATAAGCAACTGGTCACTTGTCTTGTATGTCACCATACTCTTGGATATTTAAAATGAGAACAGGAAAGAACACAGTTGGATATTCATGTGAAATGAATGAACTTTTTCTCTTTGTATTTTATACAAGCATAAATTTAAATATTGTAGCCTAATATATTGTGTTTTAATGTTTAACGTCATTAGTGCATTTTATCTTTTTTAGCTTCATGTATATCTCAGCCTAATATATTGTATATTAATGTTTAACCTCATTAGTGCATTTTATCTTTTTTAGCTTCATGTATATCTCAGCCTGATCTAGAGTATTTTTGTTTAACCTCATTAGTGCATTTTTTCTTTTTTAGCCTAATGTATTTTTAGTCTAATTAATGTATGTTTTTCTTTTTTTAACATAGTATAATTTTTAGCCTAATTTAGTGTGTTTTATTATCTATAGCTCAATCTAATGTGTTTTTTTGTCTTTTTTAGCTGATTCATTCCAGATAACAGAAATTTGTATGTATGATGGAGATTTCAAGGATACAACTTACGCTGTTTCTGGAGACATAATGGATGGGGTAAATATTTATAGTCACGTTGTAGTGTAAATGGAACTGTGATCTAATATCATTGTGTTTAAAATATATAAGTTTGGTTAGGTATTACAACACAGAAAATATACGTTAAAAATAAATTAAGAAATTAGAAGGGAATATTACTAAACTTATTTGATAACAATTTCATGTATTTTATGCAAAAATAAGACTTCACCGGTCATGGCACAAGTCACGTACCCAAGGTTTTCATGTACCACGTTTTGAAAGAGACATGTATTATGAAAATCATCTGGCCATTAATAGTTTTTATCTATGGTTAGCAGGTGTATGGTTGCATATACTTGGAAGACATATAGGATTAAGTTAGCCATGTAATTCTAGACAGTTATTGAGTAATCATTTAAAATTTTCACATACAGTAAAAAAGACATTCTAAAAAATGGTTCAGTAAAAAAAAAGAAACATTTAAGCTGTGAATTTCGTATTCCACAATCGTAGGATCCTGTTGGAGTGAAGTGAATCCATGAAACTTCGATACGAAAACATTGTTTATTTTTTTACGAACTTGTTTTAATCAATTGATGATCATAATTAGAACAGTAATGGAAACAAGTCTCATAATTAAACTAATAAATCAAGTTAATTTTTTATCTATTTTATAACTAGCTCTTACTGTTTTTTCAGTACCTTTATGACTTGTCATAGTTAAACTAATAACAAAATTAATTTTTTATCTATTTTATAACTAGTTGTGTTTTTTTTACTTTTCTTGGTACCTTTATGACTTGTCAGTTAAACTAATAACAAAATTAATTTTTTATCTATTTTATAACTAGCTCATTGTTTTTTTCAGTACCTTTATGTCTTGACATAGTTAAACTAATAACAAAATTAATTTTTTATCTATTTTATAACTAGTTCTTATTGTTTTTTTCAGTATCTTTATGACTTGACATAGTTAAACTAATAACAAAATAATTTTTTATCTATTTTATAACTAGTTGTGTTTTTTTCTCCTTTTTCAGTACCTTTATGACTTGTCATAGTTAAATTAATAACAAAATTAATTTTTTTGTCTATTTTATAACTAGTTCTTATTGTTTTTTTCAGTACCTTTATGACTTGTCATAGTTAAACTAATAACAAAATTAATTTTTTATCTATTTTATAACTAGTTGTGTTTTTTTTACTTTTCTTGGTACCTTTATGACTTGTCAGTTAAACTAATAACAAAATTAATTTTTTATCTATTTTATAACCAGTTCTTATTGTTTTTTTTCAGTATCTTTATGACTTGCTGATGAACTTTTTGGAAGAACGAGGAGTTTCCAATGAATTTGCTGATAAATTGTCAGAATATTGTTCTTCTTTTGAACATGATCTTTACATTAACCTTTTGCAAGGGTTACGATCATTCGTTGGTGGAAAATAGGTTATCATGTAATTAAGTCTCGACATCCATCTTTGTGTTTTCGTATGCACTTAACGAATAGAGACATCTTGAGGTAATTGATTACTTTACATTGTAGAAGTCTTTCAGAATTGAACAATAGTTATACTTTAGAATGTATCTATCATTATGAATACAAATGAAGTTTTTAGTTAAGTTACTTACTATGAAGGTTCTGTACCATTCTTCATGTGATTGTCTAAGAAATAAAATAGTGTTGAAATATTATAGTCGGTTGTTTTTCTGATCTGCAGAAGTTTGGTCCAATTTTTATACAAGGCCAGAAACATCTGAATGTTAATCATTGAAAAATGGATGCCAATCATAGTAGTATATGCAACTGATAAGCAGTGGCTGAATGTCTTAGTAAGGATAACATTTTCATCAATTTTCTAAAAAAAATAGTTTTATTGACAGTTACATTCACAGCAATTACAGACATCAAACAAATATTTTTCTTAGTTTATTGCGTTGGGGAAATTTTATTTTTTGGAACTGTAGTAAAAGAAATTTAAATTAAACAATTATCAGTGTGCATTCTTTATATATATATATATCTTCAGGAATCATAAAATCTAGAAGACCTGAAACAAAACTTTGTCAATATAAGAACTGTGTGTGTGTGTCTGTAGCTTGGTAAAGATTAATGTGTTTCGTATTAAAGTAATGTTTTGTACACTGTTATTTTCTGTAACATCATTAGAATAATTATATTTTTAATGTGTGTAGAAAACAAAGTTTTATAAGGAAAGGCACCATTCCTTGGACAGGTCATCAAATCTAATGTTGCTTTTAGACAAGGTGTTTGTTTATTTAACAACCTGACCAGAGTTTAAACCATCTTAGGATTAATGAAGACTGCAAATTTGCTCAACTTGTTGTTTAATTCTCAGATTTGCCAAACACAGAATCATCATTTGTTTAAGGTGCAGATAATAACATTTGGTGATCTCGTTTGAAACTTTCCAACTTCGTCAAATATTTGAAAAGCTTGAATTTGTTAGAAGTAGTAAGTCCATTCTTTACAAAATGTTCGCTGAATTTTCAACCATCTTTTTCCAGGTCAAAAGCACTTTGAAACTCCGTAAATTAGCCTTATTGTCATCATTAGAGAATTAATGTTTAATAGGGTGAAATAGCCGCCCCCTAGTGGGATAGTGGTAAGACTCTGAAATAGTTACAAAGAAGTATTGTCATTTTTTAATCTGATATTGTTTGGAAGGGATGGAGTTTGTTGTCAAGCTACACAATAGGCTATCTGTGTTGTGCCCACAACGGGTATCAAAACCTGGTTTTTAGCTTTATAGGCTTTCAGACTTGCCACTGAGCCACTTGAGGGCGCCGGGATAGAATATTAGGGTTTCTATGATAATATCTTCAATAAGGAATAAACTCGTACGGTATATGTACTGAAATATTGTTCAAGAAAAAAAAATATATATGTAAAATAAAATAAACATGTAGATGGGATTGAATTCCCGACCTCTAGCATGTGCTGTGCTATATGAGCCAAAGCCCAAATATTTTTTCACATATGCAACATTATTAAGTGGAATACTATATACATGAGAAGGGTGTATGTTTTAAATAGATAAATCCTTTAAATAATGCTGTCATTGAATCATGTAGCTGGACATGAATGAATCAAAAACCTACAAAACAGAATATAGAGTTGTTGTATTTAGATTTAAAGTAGAGAAATATGGAAAGTCTATAAACAAAGTATATCTCTTTCCGCAACGTTTTATTGTATAATTACCTTGTCTTTTTGGATAATCGCCATTTTTGTATTGTAAGGTTTTGATATTTTTTTTATCGAACTTTTAAAAAAGCGACGTTATAAAATTGTGATTTTTTAAAATTATGGTATCAAGAAATGTAAAAAAAAACAAAAACAATTATCATAATGTTCTTTGTACATTTCTTGTGTGTATATATATATCTACATCGCATTTGTATATCATCTGAAACGTATTTTCTTTTGCGCAATGTGTTAGCTGTAAAACATCGAAAATGAAAGTTATGACAGTGATTATTAAGCCTAATTGCTGTAGATCAAGGTTTTCCAAACTATGTTCTGCGGAACACTGTAGATCAGAGTTTCCCAAATTATGTTCTGCAGAACACTGGTGTTTCGTCCGAGATTGATAGATGCTCCGTGAGAAAATCATGATTTTAAATTTTAATAAAATATCTAACACTTTCTTTTTTACGATCATAACTTGTTAAGAAATACTTCCTATGTATTAGAATTAGATGTCGCATTGAAGAAGTATTATAGAAAATGCCATATTTATTCTAAATAATATCTTTGTGAAGAGGTTTGTACCAAAAATATATTATAAGCATAAAAATGTAAAAATTCATTAATATGTAATTTGATTAAATAAATAAAGGAATAATATACAACTCTAGAGGGCGCTGCGCGCGCACACACATACCCTCTACAGTATACACCAATAATTCACGTGTAAGCTTTTTCTCAGCTGAAAAATGTTCCGTGGCCAAAAAAAAAAGTTTGGGAAATGCTGCTGTAGATTATAAAGTGGGTAATTTCGTTCGTACTTTTTGTTGGAAACATACTTAAACCTTAGGCCTAATTGTCGATTTTTAGGCGTTTGTTGAAATTTGTATTGAGATGTAATGGTATTGCATTATTTATAAACAACGGAAAGATAAAGAATTAACTTAACGTGTTTCCTTGCTTGTTTGTTTATGTTACTGAAATAATTGTCTTTAAAATTAATGTTATAAACGTCGTAATTTTGTACTCGAACAGAACAATGCACGTTAAACGTCATTCACTTTTGCATTCCTATAAATGTCAAAATTACCACTATACAGTTAGCCAATAGAAACATTGGCTTTCAATGACTGACACACGTTCTTTTAATTACATAGATTTTGTTTGTGTCCCGCAAGTGTCATGATTTATGTTTTTACACTCATTTTTTAAAGTGAAAATCAAATAATATATTTTGATTGGTTGTGTTCTTAGAATCTGAAGTAGAAACTTACACACTCATGTATTAATTATAGTATTTTGGCACTTGTGGATGACGTTGTAACGTCGAAACATGTAGAGTCGTCAACTTTTAGAAGGCCATAGATAGGCCTAAATGAAATGTTTTTAATTGTGTACCAGTTTAACGTTGAATATTATTTATGATTTTAACACTGATGTATGTCAGAAGCGGATCGAAATTGATAGATAACATAGAAAAGGTAAGCCAAATACGCAGGGAGAACATCATTTTAATAACATTTTTTTAAATTTTATTTATTATCTGTTATGTTCTACTAAAAAATATATTACGTTACTCCACCACCTTGAAAAATACCATGGACCCCCCTTTGATAAACACATTGGTGTTTTTTTAATGTTTATGAAATAATATTTTATTCAACTTGATTTGTGTCGTATTTGAACTACTTACATCGAAGTGTTTTCTAAACATCACAGTAAATTTTCCGCTTTGTGAACATCAAGAGATTTGTAGTGTTTTCGTTTATAATCCTATGTTTTTTATTTTATCTTTTTAGTTGTGTATAAATTAATAAATTGTTACCAAAATTTTGAAATCTTGAGCCATCGCTAGTGTTTTAATTAATCAGGTAATTTAAATAACTCTCTGTCTCTTACTTCTTTTTTATATATACTTTTGCATAGTAGCATAAAGAATTATGATAAATATGGAAAACATTTGTTTCTTGCTCAATTTTGTGCTTACAGCAGTTTATGAATATTATTTTTTTAAAAAAACGTTCGATATCAACAGCTTTTGAAAAGTTGTGATTGTGAAAAGTATATCTTTGTGAAAATCCAGAATATTCTTGCTTTAAAAAATTCCCCCGGTGGAACAGCGGTGTATGTCTTCGGATTTTAAACTGTACAATGAGGGGTTCGATTCCCCCAGTGAACGCAGCAGGTAGCCAGATGTGGCTTTGGTATAACAAAACACACATAAAGGCTTAAGAAAATACAATTATGTGACGCCCTCTATTTTTTCAGAAGTTGTTGCACTTCTAAGATTATCTTTATTTTCAATACTTTCACATTTGTTTTATAATGTAAGATAGTATTTTAAAATTGAAAAGAAAAAAAAACAGTCAATGCTAGTAAAACTAGGTGGTAAGGTACTTTGAATAAAAAATCAACGTTCTACTCCATGTTGTTGAAAGTCGCCGACTTGGTGGCAGATGATTCCCATTTTTGACGACTTGTAGTATCTTTAAAGAATGTGCGTCGTTATCTGGCACTTTTACGACGATACTGTGTACCTATTATGTTTTTTAAGACCGTAACCCACGTAAATTCACTGCAGCTGATAAAATATTAGCCATAGCGGAAGCATCTCGCGTGCACGTTTCATCTTCTATTACCATAGCAACACCGAACCTGATTGTTTCCGTGAGACGACCCGCAGGAAATATTACGACCAACTTTTGTTTCGTATCTGCTGAAGTCGTAGTAGAAGCTCGGGGACAAAAAGAGGACATTTTTCTTTTTTTTCTATACCTAGAAGACTTGTGAAAACCCATTCTCCTAGCGGAAATTCCCATGTGACATACTGAGGTTGACATTAAGGATAAATCTTAGACAGATGTTAGAGCTCTTTTTCAGACATTTAACTTTTTAATGATTCAAAATGGATCTAAAGTATGGCATGGTTTATGACACGTACTGACGTCGTAAATATAAGTTACACATTACATTAACTTCAACATGCCTTTATTGTTGCTTCTTATGTATTATAAGCAGAAACACTGAATATGAGATAGTAATATCAACTTAAAATATGAGACCATTATATGTAGCACTTTCAATACCAGCCTATGAGTAGAAATATAATAATTTTAATACGACAGTTTAAAGACAACCCAATAACTATATTGAGTGATAACTTTTTGTCTCTTATGTTCTTGCGTTTATTTTGGTAAAGTGTAAAGAAAATCGATTCGTTACCAAAGATTAGAAATAACTGTTGTAAATGTAATTAAGTATTATATTATAATTAACTATTAGTATGGTACTTAATTAGTCTACTTTTATTGTCTCACGCAGGCTGCTACTAAACAAATAACTGTGGTGGTGTATTATGTAACAATACCGAAAGTTACAGGCTGCTACTAAACAAATAACTGTGGTGGTGTATTATGTAACAGTACTGAAAGTTATAGGCTGCTACTAAACAAATAACTGTGGTGGTGTATTATGTAACAGTACTGA